ACAGCAACAATGATGCCATACTTCGGGCAGAGAATTTCTTCTAAAAACGACCTGGTGCCAGATTGGACCACCCAGGAAGTCAGCACCGGGGTGAGTACACAGACTGGGGAACCGGAGCGGACCGAACCTGACCGGGGTCTGTCCCGGAGGAGAGTTTTTAAACAGCAAACAGCGGCTGAATGAGACAGCAGTTCTGCAGCAGCTAACGGCGACTAACGCTAACTCCGGTTCACTGTTAAAGTTCGGACTGAAAGGAGACAGAGCCGAGCCGAGCCGAGCCGGACTGAGCTGAACAGTCTCGGAGGAGAGCCTGAAACTGAAGCCGTAATATTAAAGAGATAGAGTTCAATCTCAGTGATGAAGCGGGATGAGCTAATTGTTGCTAATGCTCATAGCTCCATTCTCGGACGCTGCTATGCCGTTTGTTTTAGAAATAATGACCTGTCCGATAATGGACGCATGTTTAAAATAAGCCAGTTGTGCCACGAGTTAACTGTCATGTACATCAGGGTGAATTCGGGCCTCATCTGTGTTAAATGTACAGATTAAAAGTGGCGCTGAACTTGGTTTAAGTACCTGAGCCAAAAATAAAAGTAGCTCAGTGAAAACTAAAATATTCCCTCTGTAATGTGCTGAAGCAGAAGTTTAAGTATCACAACGTGTAGAAGTACCTCACGTTAATACTGGAGTTAATGTACTGAGCTACTACTGTAAATGTAATGTTACAGTGACAGTCATTATGGATAAAATACACAGACAGAGATAAACAAGCAGGATCATTTACACAGTTTAAAAGTCTTAAAAACGTCACGTTGATCTCAATAAATAAAGATGTTAAAGTGAGTTTATAATGTGTCAGTGTGTGTGTTGTCATATTACCTGATAATATAACTGTCTGTCTGTCTACCTGTCTGTCTGTCAGACCACCATCATGGCGGTGGAGTATGATGGAGGAGTGGTGATCGGTGCAGACTCTCGCACCACCACAGGGTAAGAAAAACAAAGTGTCTGTATGATTGATCATTATTGTGTGTGTGGTAAACACTCAGTGAAACCTACCTGTCTGTCTCTCTCTCTGTCTATCTCCCTCTCTGTCTATCTCCCTCTCTCTGCCTGTCTGTCTGTCAGAGCTTACATCGCCAACAGAGTCACAGACAAACTGACTCCGATCCACGACCGGATCTTCTGCTGCAGGTCAGTTTATTGTTAAACTCTTGTTTGGTGGATTATATAACGACGCATCATTGTCACCGTGATCAGCTTGTAGAACCAGAAATGTAGAACAGGTCAGGCTGAGAACCTAGAACCTTTCTACAGAACATGGTTAATACTTTACAGCAGACATTTAGGAACTCAGCGATACTCTAATGGGAACTTCTGAAGAACCCAGGAACTCCACGAGGAACCCCAGAACCTTTTCTAGCAGGGGTACTTTACTAGGAACTTGTTGGAATCCAGAACTCCTTCACAGGAGCTTTGTAGGATTTAACACCTCTTAAGAACCCAAGAACATTTGTAAAGAACACCTTTAAGACTAGCTCAAGAACCCATTTTAGAAAGCCCAGAACTCTAATGTGAACTTTGAACATTGCAGGTAAGAACCTCTCAACAGTTCGAACATATTCTGGGTTTTCTATGAAGGTTCTAGGGTTCTGAGGAACCCCAGAACCTTTTAAAGAAACGTTAAAGACTTTACTGAGAACATCTTGTTGTAGGAAGTCCAGAAATCCAAAGTATAAAACCAGAACTTTTTATAGAACCAAGGAACCTTTTAGGAACCTGAGAGTTATTAGTAGTAGTAGTAAGAACCCTTTAGAACCCAGAGTGTTCTGTGTTGAACGCTGTGACTGTTGTAGGTCTGGATCAGCTGCTGACACTCAGGCCATCGCTGACGTCGTCGCCTACCAGCTGGGCTTCCACAGGTAACACACACACCGCTCGGTTTGATTGACAACCTTTGTGTCCTGTCAGATGTGGTTAATGTGTGCGTGTGGTCCCGCCCCCCAGCATCGAGCTGGACGAGCCCCCGCTGGTGGAGACGGCTGCCAATCTGTTCAAAGCGAGCTGCTACCGCTACAGAGAGGAGCTGACTGCTGGGATCCTGGTGGCAGGCTGGGACCGCAGGAAGGGGGGGCAGGTAGTGTGCACGCACACGCACACGCACACACACACACACGTGTTTAAAGTAGGTGTCGTCTCTGTGGACACTAGATGGAGCTGTAACTTCATCTGTCGTCAAGTCTCTGAATTCAGTTTCCTTCAAAGAGATTCAAATCTGAGAAGGTTTAAACATCATATTTCATCTGCTGGATATTTATTCGTGATGTCATGTGATGTCACGTGATGTCATGCGACCCACACACAGCGATCTCTGACATTTTCTAATTTAGCCTGAAAATGAAAAAGCAGTTTTCTTGTGATGGACTGATCGATTCATTGATTAATCACTAACTTTTCCTCCCGGACGTCTCCTGCTCACCTGTCTCTGTGTCACCTGTCTGTGTCTCAGGTGTACTGTGTTCCTATTGGTGGGATGCTGGTGAGGCAGCCGGTGTCGGTGGGCGGCAGCGGCAGCACCTACATCTACGGCTTCATGGACTCCAACTACAAACCAGGACTGGGCAAAGACCAGTGTCTGGAGCTCACTGCTACAGGTACATGATGCTGCTGCAAGGCATGCTGGGAGCTGGAGTCCACCACAGGACTACAGACTCCCATCTGCAAGTGTTTAAGTGCAGAAACTGGAGTAAATGACCTGTCTGTGTCTCACCTGTCTGTGGCTCAGCTCTGTCTCTGGCGATGGAGAGGGATGGCTCCAGCGGGGGCGTGGTCAGACTGGCGACCATCTCAGAGGAGGGAGTGGAGCGAAGAGTCATACTGGGAAACCAGCTGCCAAAATTCTCCACACACTGAACACACACACACACACACACACACAGCTGTGTTAACTTGTCCATTTTGTTGTCAATAAAGGTTTGAAAGTTTGACTCTGTCTCTGTTGTTGTCACAGAAACAGGAAGTCGTCTGATTGGCTGGTTTTGTTTCTGATCAGCCTGAGACACATTGATTATTGATCAGATCCGGTGGCCTCATTGATCTCATGTCGATAACAAACAAGTCGTCGTGGAGACGTTGAGACGTGGACGGTGAAGCAACATTGACGTCTCTCAGCTGTAAACATGGCGCCTGCCCCTCGTCTCTGCGGCAGCTCAACAGGAGCTGCTCCTTCCTGTTTTAACCTTTATTGTCCCGGGGTCACCGTGCCGACAGCCCGGAGGGGAGGGGTCTGTTTCCTGTCTCTGCCACCGCACATCCTGAGAGGACGTTTAAATAAAGTTCCACACGATGAAGACGAGAGTCGATCCGACGTTTAATGACGCTGATCCACAATAAATATAAATGATATAAAACATCAGCTCTGAGGTTCGGACACTAGAGATCAATATAGAGAGAGGGTGTGTGTGTGTGTGTGTGTGTGTCCGTCCAGCAGGTGGAGACAGATCCAGATCTGACCCACAAACACTGACTGAAGGTTCAGTGACTCATCTCGTTATTTTCATGTTTCCTCCTCATTGTTTTGTCCACATGTCCCTGCTGACCAGAGACAGGCGCCTGTCTGTCTGCCTGTCTCACTCTCCATCATCCTCAGAAGAAGACAGAGGTGAAAAGGTCATAACTTGTGGAAACTCCTGATGGGTTCCAGGGTCCTCTAACAGGGTCCTTGAAGAGACTTGAAAGGTGGTTGTGGAGGTTCAGACTGGTTTGAATCAGAACAAGAGAAGAAGAAAGAACAAGGAGGGAGGGAGGGAGGGATGTTTACACAGAGGTGTCGACTGAGCAGAGGAGGAGAGGTCACACAGGGACGATCGACACTCAGGTGTTACTGGAGGGAGGGGAGATGGACTTGTCCTGTTTTGTCTTTGAATCTTTATTGACAACAGACGAACGAACAGATTCGTTCATCAGTTAATAAATGAACAGATGTGGAAACAGACTCGTCCTCTCTCCTCTTTGTTTCTGTCTTTTCTTTCCCTCCTGTTTCAGCTCTGCTTGGAGGCGGGTCTATCACCTGTCAGTCAAACTTCTTTTCCTGTCGTTCTCGCTTCAGAGTATGACAGACAGATGACAGTTTCCCACAATCCATCTCTCCTCCGTTCCCTCCATTTTACTGACCTCATATTTATTTATTTCTCCTTCTGTCCTCCTCTTTCCTTCCCTCATTTTTCTCCTCCTTCCTTCCTTTCCTCCCTCTCTCTCTTTCCCTCCTTTATTTTCTCCTTCCATCCTTCTCCTTTTTTTCTGTCTTTCTTGTTTTACTTCCTCCTTCCTCACCCCCTTTCCTCCCTCCTCCTAACTTCCTTATTCCTCTATCTCTTTCTCCCTCTTTGTCTCCTGTCCTCTCTCCTCAGTCTTACCTCCTCCCCCCTCCTCCCCCCTTCCTGTACTCCTGTAGTGTATTGTTCTCCCGGCTCGTTGACACCTCAGAGAAAAGACAGAGTCACAGGGGGGAGGGGGGAGGAGAGGTGGGGGTGATACCTGACCCTGGTCTTTTATCCTCTCACAGAGAGAGGTGACGGTCGCACGATGCTTTCCACCTTTCATCTGACAGACATGTGACATCATTGTCTCTCTCTCTCTCTGTATACTGACATAATGTCTCTCGCCCAGTCTCACCTGGTTTGAATGGAGCTTCAGGTGTGAAATCTAAACCTGCTTTAATCCTGTTGAAGGTTTTATTTCTTTGTTTGACGTCACACTGAATTCTGGGAAAATATAAGACTTTTTTTCTTGTTTTCTGACATTTTATTTAAAAAAAAAAACAATCAGTAAAAATCCTTGTCAGAGCGACAGCATCAGCTCAACATCATTACAGAGCTCCACCCTGCTGACACACACACACACACACACACACACACACACACACACACACACACACACACACACACACACACACACACACACACACACACAAAAAAACAAAAGAGGAATAAACTTTAGTGAGAGTGAATTGCCAAGTGAGTTTTCAGCAGAATAAGTTGTACAATAAAACTAGTGTAACAGTCTAATTATAATTCACTAATGTGCAGGTAAAAGAAGCAATGATAGACGATTTAATTACGGTTTAGTTTGATTTATAATATAATAATATAAAATCAAATAATGATATATCAAATAATAAAATTAAATGATATAATAAATTATAATATAATATAAATAAGTTTTTCCATTTTTTCATTGTACTGTTTTTTTTCAGACAGACAGGCAGAGAGCGAAAGACGGTCTCCTTCAGTCTGTCAATCAGCACTAGAGCCCGCCCCCTCCGATGACTGACAGACCGCTTAGCCAATCACAGACCATGTAAGAGGAGTCTGGGGGCGTGGTCTCAGCGGAGACAGAAAACTTGTGTCCGGCTGCTTTTGTCCGAACTTTCCGCCGCTATTCGGTTCTGGATGTTTTCACTGGGAGAACAGAAACTAACTGGGAACACTGGGACACACACGGAGCTCTGACTGGTCACCAGCTACCCGCTCTTTGTGTTTGTGTCTGTATTCACCCTGTGTGTGTGTGTGTGTGTGTGTGTGTGTGTGTGTGTGTGTGTGTGTGTGTTTGTGTGTTAAGTACCTCACCCCTCCAGTCGCTTCACCGACCCCTCTCCGCTTGCCAGGCGGCCTCTCAGAACTTCTGTCCCGGTGTCGGAGGCAGCCGCGCCCCGCCGCTCTCTCCTGGAGGAACAGAACAGAGGGAAGAGAAGAGTAGGAATGGAGGGGTGAAGGAGGGTCAGAGAGAGGAGGGAAGTTACAGGAAAACTTCGGGACTCCTCTCTTTTAATGTGTTTGTGAAGTTTTGTGGAGTCTCGGGTTCTGAGGCGTCCATCTTGGAAAGTTTCTGCTCCAGCAGGAGGATTTTCTGATTTCTACGCCACACGGATCAATAACTGAGGACCGAGTCCGGTTTGGATTTTTACTTCTTTGTTTTACTTTTTGGGCTTCAATGAGGCGCGCGCGGCCAGCTGAGAGCCAGCCCAGCTGACGGTCAGTGATCGGTGATCGATAGGTCTGATCGGCTGTGGAGTGTCGCGCCGAGTGAGCGTGGCGCGGGTCTGACCGGGTCTGGACTTTATCGCACAGGCTGGGATGGAGGGTCGGAGGGGACTGCGGGCCCCCGCGGCCCCGGGACGGGCCTCCTCCTGCGGGCTGCTGCTGCTCCTCCTCCCGCTGCTCCTGCTCAGCTGCTGCGGGGCCGAGGAAGGTAAGAGACAGTTTGAACTCATCAATACTTTGTAAATACAATGCAAAGATCTGCAGCCACTGATCGTTTACGTTATTGATTAATCAGCCGAACATTTCCATTAATAATCAATTCATCTGAACAGTGAAACATCAATATGTGTAGTTGTGAGACTTCAATAAGTTACGTCACACTCCTCCTGTACTGGACCGGACTCCTGCGGTTCACTGGGACCAGCAAGTGACGTCACCGTCTGACGTGTTTTCAGGTTTTTTAATGTAGTTAAAAAACAAATGAAAACAGGAAGTAAAAAGCTCAGGAATGAACAGTCCATTAGAGAACCCAGTGTGGTTCTGTTAGAACCCATAACTCTGCAGGTGGACAACCCCTCAGGCGGTCCTGGAGGTTCCTCACAGAACCACAACACTGGAGAAGCTCCAGGAACCAGTTGATGCTTCAAGAGCCCAGTTACAATCAGGACTTTGGTTTTTCATCAGTGTCGGACTCTTCAGGACCAGAACTGATCTCCTCTGTATGTTCTGATGTTCTAATAGGCTGAACTGGGTTCTCCACTGGTTCTTCTGTGTGAAACATCTCACAGACGTTCTCTCATATCAGATAGAACTGCTCCATTATGGTAAAAATCATAATCAGGATTATTGTGATCAATGAACATGATCACACCAACAAAACTTTGTCTTTTTAACAGTGAATTTATTGAACTTTTAAATACAATTCAATGGAAAAACTGTTAAAAATTTTTTAAAAATTTAAAATTAAATTTAAAAAATTGGATAAATAAATGAAATAATATATAATATCTAAATAGTTAAAATTAAATATATAATGTAAAAAATAATAAAAATAACAGTGTTCTTCCACAGCCGACTGAAAACTTTATTAGTTCAGAAAACAGACACAAATCAATGATTGGCTGATGATCAGAAATCAATCAGTTTATCTGAAAGCTACTCTGTGTGTGTGTGTCTGTGTGTCTGTGTGTGTGCGTCTGTGTGTGTGTGTGTGTGTGTGTGGGGTGAAGTGAGCTAACACATCAATCACAGAGAGGGAGGGGGGTGGAGAGACACTGACTGAGATGTTGATAATTAGACAGAAAATGACGTGGACTCTGGTCCATGAGTCTGTGAAACAAACTGTTATAGACAGAAGAAGAAGAAAGGGGGGGGCCGAGCCATGAAGAAAAGAAGAAGTAGTGAGGAAGGAAAACAAAAGCTCAGCTCTGAACCTAGATAAGAAAACTGATCCTCCCAGATCCTGGTTCAGAACTGGAACAGAGGCGGGACCTGTTGTTGTGCTGGACCTGAACCACATTAGACCTTCAGACTCCGTCCTGGATCCAGATGAACCTGTAGCAGGTGTGTGTGGGTTGGTCAGTTTCCGTCAGTTTCCATCAGTTTCCGTCAGTTTTTTTTTTTACCAGTTTTCATCAGTTTCCAGCAGGTAATAAAATAGTTGTCAATTGATTTTCTATCAGTTGACTAATTGATGAATCAGAATTCTGGTTGGTTTCCATGGTAACAATGACTGACATGTTAAAGACAGAGCTGAGGTTAGTTTCACCCTAATGATAAAACACATTCACATCAGTCTCTGTGGGTGTGTCTCCATCTGCTCTCTCTCTCTCTTTGTTCTGTTGTTCTGATTTTAACCCTAAAGCCACACAAACCTACCCCCCCCCCCTTTCTTTTCCCTCCACAAATCCCTTTAAAGACGCTGGATTTAACTTCTGACTGAGTGTGAGGGATTTGCATGTTAAGTGCAGGTTGGTTTAATCTTTAATCTGTTGATTGGCCCTTTGGAGGTTTAACACACACACACACACACACACACACACACACACACACACACACACACACACACACACACACACACACACACATTAGGATGAGATAGTAGATGTTTTATTTCAGTCTGAGCCAGTCTCTTTGACCCTGGTCAGGGTCTGGGTCCAGAGGTTTTAAAGGTTTTCTCTGATTCAAGAGGAAAAATAACAAGAAAGAAAAAAGAGGAGAAGAATGAAAATGTGAGGAGCTGCCAGATAATCAGGTTTATGAGAGAGCAAGTCCCAGCATGAGACCACACACACACACACACACACACACACACACACACACACACACACACACACACACACACACACACACACACACACACACAACACACTATAAACAGTGTATCTGGTGATAAGAGTGCATGACGAGGACGAGGAAATTACCATGACAACAGTGGCGGGATGTTTATACAAGACACTCGCCCTGTATGTGTGTGTGTGTATGTGTAGTTTACAGTCTATATGCATATAAACCCCACACACACACACGCGCACACACGAACACACACACACACAGGGTTTAATTGGCTCAGGCTGAGATGCTGATTGGAAGCGTGTGTGTGTGTTTATATATAAACTCTGTATTTCCCTTCATGTTTGGAAAACCCTCTGTGGTCGAGTCTCATTCACTCTCTCTCTCTCTCTCTACACGTTAGTGTGACAGTGGGTCTGAGACCACGAGCTCATATCCTGTTTCCTCATAACACAACCACACACACATCAGCGTAATATACAGGTATACTATAAATATACGTAGAGCTGATAAAAACTCGGTCAGAGTTGTCATGTCGACATTTAAGGTGTATTGATTGATTTCCAAATGAGTAACACAGAAAAGATCATTCCACCTTAAAAGATGGCGGTAGCTGCTGTTAGCGTCGTAGCTGCTCAGAGAATCAAATGGTTCATTAGTGAAAACAGACTTTCACTCGTCCATCACTCTTCAGTTTCTTCATCTGTGGTGCTTTTACACAGGAACATGACAGAGAGCTAGCTTAGCCTAGCCTGTTAGCTTAGCTACGTTTTCAGCTTCACTTGCTCGACACGAGTCAGTTACTGAAATCATTCAAACACAAACGATTTGTGTTCACTCACCTGCTACCTAATGCTAAGCTAACTACAACCTGCTACAGCCATGGTCTGGTCTGATGTCACTGAGCTGGATGTTTGTCTGATGCTGCGTTATATTCTAATCAAACTGTTCATGAAGTCAGTCTAGCATCTGATCATGTGATCAGAGTTGACTGATCTATGTGAACCTGTCGCCGTAGCAACAGTGGTTACATCACCTTAGAAACGAGACACAACACGTCCTAGGTGAGCTCCAGGCCCTCAAACAAACAGCTCTACACCTTTCACATCATATATGTATATACACTGTATATATTTATACACACAGGTGTATATATTTGATCTGTTACCAGGGATTTTGACTCGAATCGTGCACCTCAAACAACGACACGTCACCATGACAATGACACACATCACCATGGCAACAACACACATCACCGTAACGACAGTCATGGCAGTCGGGAGGTGATCAGTAAAAACACTGAGTTTCACTGAGTCTGTTCAACCTTCTCATGAGACACTTGTTGCTCCAGTCAGAATTACAGCGGCTCTGATCACATGACATGACACACACACACACACACACACAGTTGCAGTGTGTGTACATTAAGAATTCATGTCAGTTACACTTTATCAACTCTCTTCAACTGGATTAATAATCTGTAGGAGTGTGAAACATACACGCACACACACACACACACACACACAGTATTTCCTTACCCTCTCGTTCATTTCCTCTAATTGCTTCAGTCACTTCTCATTTTAATTAACTGACAAGGAGAATTAAAGAGTCAGTGTGTGTGTGTTCTCCGTGTGTGTGTGTGTGTATGTGTGTGTGTAATTACAGTGTAGAGAAAGGGAAAGCAGCCATTTGATGGTTCCGCTCTGCAGCAACCGAGGAATGAAGCGTCTCTGTAATTCACTGTGAGTGTGTGAGACCACACAGACCACACTGTTCTGTATGTTCCCACTGTGCTGAGGCAGAACCGAGGCTCTGCAGGGTTCTCCAGGCTCTGCAGGGTTCTCCGGGCTCTGCAGGGTTCTCCGGGCTCTGCAGGGTTCTCCTGGTCTGTGGCTGAACATAAACATGAGTCATTCCTGTGAAAACACAGAAATGTGGATCAGACACCAAGATCTGCCCCGACTGGATCAGAGAGACACAGAACTACAACAAGACCAACAGGTCTGAGAGACCACAGTATCATCTGGACCAGAACCAGACTGAACTAAACTGGACCAGACTCAGATCAACATCCAATGAATATCATGAACTGATGGAGACGTAGAAATGTTCTCACATTGTCTGTAAATCAGTCAGTGTTGGTGTGAAGCTCTGAGGAGGAGAAACATACAGATCTCACTGTCAGTGAGTGTCAGTGTGTGTGTGTGTATCTCAATGTGTGTGTCAGTGTGTATGTGTGTGTGTCTCAGCGTGTCAGTGTGTATGTGTGTGTCTCAGCGTGTCAGTGTGTATGTGTGTGTCAGTGTGTGTCTCAGCGTGTCGGTGTGTATGTGTATGTGTCTCAGCGTGTCAGTGTGTATGTGTATGTGTCTCAGCATGTCAGTGTGTCAGTGTGTGTCAGTGTGTATGTGTGTGTCAGTGTGTGTCTCAGCATGTCGGTGTGTATGTGTATGTGTCTCAGCGTGTCAGTGTGTATGTGTATGTGTCTCAGCATGTCAGTGTGTCAGTGTGTGTCAGTGTGTATGTGTGTGTCAGTGTGTGTCAGGGTTAAGCCGTCTTAGCCTCCCTTCTCCAGCACTGATTACAGAACATTATTCATGGCTGATATTACAGATATGCAGTAGTAATTCATGTGTGTGTGTGTGTGAGGGTTGGGAGGAGGGGGGCGTGGGTTAAGCCTGGTCTTCTTCACCTGTCCCCCCTTTAGTATCGACTGTGGTTTTAGTTTCTCTTCATGACGTGTGTGTGTGTGTGTGTGTGTCATCTTCGGCTTCACATTAAAAATGTTTATTATCATTAAATGAATTAAATTCACCATCAAACTTAAAGACTAAAAACATCAAAAGTCCCATGAGTTTAAAGGAACAGTCCAACAGCTTTGAGGACGATGTAGAGAACCAAGAACAGGTTCCACAGATCCAGATGTCACTGAGGAGAACTCACAGGGTCCAGAAGAGGTTCTAATGGTTCTTTAGGAGATTTCAGAGGTTCCTGAGAAGGATCCAATGGTTCTTGAGGATTTTGTAGAGATTCTTGAACAGGAGCCATGTAGCTCTTGAGAGGGTTCTTGTCGATGTTTTAAAGGTTCTTCTCTTATTGAAGGGCTTTTAGAGAACGTTGCAATGAGCCTATAGGAGGTTCCACAGGTTGTAGAGAACCTTGTGCAAATTGTCAAGGCCATCGGTGAAGTTCTAGGGTTCTCTGAGTAGGTTGAAAGTTTAAATGTTCCTTAAAGACGATCTGGAGGAACCTTGAAGAGGTTCCACAGATCCTTCAGGGGGTTTCAGATGTTCTTGACAAGGTTCTAGTGGTGGTTGTGGAGGATCTTTAGGAAGTTGGAGAGGACTTGAGTATTATAGATGCAGAACGTGTTTAGCTTAGCTTAAAGAGTGGAACCAGACTGGAAATGCCCTGACGCCATATTTACTAATTCGTTTTCTGTATCTTCTTGACTTCCTGTCTGACTCCACCTGTCTGTCTGAATCTACCTGTCTGTCTTTCAGAGGTGTTGATGAACACCAAGTTGGAGACGTCGGACCTCCGGTGGACGAACCATCCTGCTGATGACCCCGAGGTACAGGCACACATTGACGGACAGTTAGCTCTCAGCTAACATTTATCATTGATGTCAATGAAGAATGCTAATCCATACCCACTCAGTTTCCCTCCCTTCCTGTTTGCAGTGGGAGGAGGTGAGCGGATTGGACGATGAGTCTAACAGCGTACGGACCTATCAGATCTGCACGCCCAACAGTCCATCTTCCTATTGGCTGAGGACTCGCTGGATCCCTCGGAGGGCGGCGACCATCCTCTACGTCGAGATCCGGTTGGTGGTTGGATTCAGATTTAGTGAAAATGTTTCTGACATCATCATGGATGAACGTATTGATCAGTGATCAATGGTTATCATTGGTCCTGTATTGATCCTGTATTGATCGTGTTCCTCCAGCTTCACCATGATGGAGTGCTCTGGTCTGAACCAGCGTCACTGTAAAGAAACCTTCAACTTGTATTACTACCAGTCTGACAGTGACGAGGCCACGCCCACTCACCCAGCGTGGATGGAGAACCCGTACACCAAAGTTGCCACTGTCGCAGCCGACCACCTGCTGCGGCGCGGCGGGGAGCGGCGCTCTAACATCAAGCTGCTGCGCCTGGAGCCTCTGC